AAAAAAAAAAAAAAAAAAAAAAAAAAAAAGACTGAACTAAACACGAAAACAGGCCTTTGGAAGTTATCTAAAGCAAATACAGGGAATGTTTTGTATATGCATTGTAAAACCAGGATTCTCAAAAAATATCCCAACAAAGAAAGTCGAGCTACAGAATTTTAAATAAAAAAGAAAACAAGTCATGAAAACCAAAACAGCAGAACAAACACTTCACTTCTTCCTTCACTGAGGCTGCGGCGGTGGCTGGGTCATATGCATCATCATTGGTTGCTGCTGTTGTTGTTGCTGCTGCATCATTGGGTGGGGCCCACCGCCCATCTGCTGAGGTGGCGGCTGGCTCATATGCATCATCGGGTGGGGCACACCACCCATCTGCTGAGGTGGCGGCGGCGGTGGCTGGGCCGTCATGTGCATCATCATCGGCGGCTGCTGATGCATTGGGTGGGGCCCACCGCCGCCCAGCTGCTGAGGTGGCGGTGGAGGCCGCCACAGTTGTTGATAGGCACTCTGAGGAGGGGGTGGCGGCATGCGGATAGGTGCGGAAGGCACCGTGCCGTTGGCAAAGGGCGGCCTCACCACCGTGCCGTTTTGCTGAGTCGGGGTCCCACTCGCAAACATTTGCTGAGTTGGGGGCCCACTCGCAAACATTGTGTGGGGCCGACTTCGCTGGGCATTGTTGGAACTGTTTGCAGCCAGGAGTCTCTCTGCAGCAGAAGATGATGGATGATAAATTAGCCGTAGAAGATTATAGATTCAGAAACACTAGGATACAGCAAAAGCAAGAGAGCTACAAAAAAAATAATTAAAAACATTGTAATTCATACAAATCCATAACGATTAAACAATATTTAACACTTCCTTATACAACGTTCTTCGTCTTTGTAAACAATATTAACACTTTCTTATATACAATGTTTTTCGTCTTTGTGAATTCAGTAAATTAATATTAGTGAATTAGTAACTATTGAACTAGGGCGTGCATGGATACAAATATATCCGCTCAAAACGAGTTTTTTTAATTAACTAGAGTTAATTTTAACTTGAAAAAGGTGGTACGGTTAATTGTTAGTGGAATTTTGAGTTTATATTAAAATAATATTTAAAAAAAACAATTAAAGTTGTTTTGATGTAAAAGTAGGAAAGAGATAATGTGAAGCGATGGTTAGCTAAAATTATGTGAAAGGATGAATAATAAATTAAAGTTGATGTAATATGTAAGAATAATAGATTGATATTATTTAATTATATTGATAATAGAAATGATAGTGGGGTAGGTTTAAAGTTGAGTTAGATTTTGAGTTTGGATTGAGAATGAATTGAGTTATTTTGTAAACAAACACACCCTTGGTTATAGTAAAGTATGTAATTATTATTATATTGTGATTATAATCTTCTTGATTGATATCTAGAAGGGATGTTTCGTAATTAAAATTAGTGTAAATGTGTTTTACAAATATCTAGATGGGATGTTTGATCGAGCACGATGGCCAACCCCACCTATTGAGTGAGATCTTTAACGGCTTGTTGTTGTTGTGTTTTACAAATACAATAAATTTTACTTGTTCGTTGAATTGCTTGTATGCGTTAACCTGTTGCTCTCCATTTATGTTATTTTTTTATTTACTAAGAACTTGTAGTAGTTATAACTTAACAGAAGTTGAATCTAAACATGATTGTTAGTTGATTATCTGGCATTAGTAATTTATCAAGAGATACCAGGTTAAAAGGGATAGGGCTAATATTGTCCAGCACTTGAACATTTTTTACTCTTCCGAAAGGACTACCAGGGATTCTATTTCACTACATCTATTTATAGATGTGAATGTGTGTGTAAATAAAGATTATTTATGTCCACACACACACACAGAGAGAGAGAGACAGAGAGAGAGAGAGAGAGAGAGAGAGAGAGAGAGAGAGAGAGAGATCTCGCCTGCTGGCGTGCCATGACGCTCCCCCTTAGTGTCTTTCTTGTAAGCATAAGAGACTGTTATCTGGCGATTGCAAAGATACTGACCATTCATGGTCTGTAAAAACAATAATAAAGACTGTTAAATTCTCAAACAAATGAATTTTAACTAGATACAGTGCGATTGGTGAGTAATATTTCTCTCAGATCAAAAGCATAACATATGTAATATTACAGTTACGGGTATAAATAAGAGCAACAAATAATAGATACCAAGCTAATTTCCAGTCACACATGTGGAACAGAAAGATACCTCTATAGCCGCATCAGAAGCATCAAAAGAATCATAGCTAATAAAACCAAAACCACGGGAATTTCCAGTCTCAGGATCTCTCATTATCTGCAACAGGAATTCACAACCAGAAACAGCATAAATGATTATCCCATTACTAACAAAAGAAACGAACGTAGAGATTCTAAGACACACATAAGCCAAAGCATAAAGCATTTGAAACTATTGGTGTTCCAACTTACAAAATTGTGACTTGAGCCATAGAGAAGGCTGCGGGGGCTTCTAATTTACGTTTAGGACAGTTAACAACTATTTCAACTAAATGCTAGTTCATTAACAGATTGTTTATAAGTATTTGCACATCCTAAACACAAACGTCTTTTATCATATCTCTATGGACTAGATTCTTCTATCTGTAATTTTATATCTGTGTGTAAATATAAAACTAATAGACAATGACTACTAGTGTACACTTTCTCTGAAATCTATATGGAAGATACACAATGAGCAATCCAAAGAACAATCAGTGGTGTCTTGAACATACATGGGGCCCTATCCTAATTCTTACCTTGCTATGATTACTACCATAAAAAGCATCACAATCACATACTTGCACAAAAATCGGCAAGCCTTTCAACAATGTAAGAGCAAAATTTACAAGAATTAGTGTATCCAATCAAAAGGGTAGAAGAGGAACCCAAAGAAAGAAAGCCCCAAACAGTAGATGGCTAGACACGAATGGTAAAAAAAAAAAAAGAAAAAATAAATAGACTTAATAAAGTACTGATTCGTACAACATAGACACGAAAAGATGAAAAAGATTCAAAAAATTTTGTTTCCTTCACAACTAATATGTAAATGAGTAGCGCAATAGTTGAGGGCAAAATAACCTTTGGATTTGTAACAATTACACCAAAAGCACTGAAAGTGTCATATAGAAGCTTTTCGTCAACATCCTGTAAACAGAATAAAAGAGTTCATCTGCATTTAGTTCAAGCAACTATGCTTCTCATTGCATAAGTCTAGCCACAAAATATATATAATGTGTGGGTGTGGGTGTAAATATGGTGAGTGTGTCGCTAAATACATCAAAATGCCTTACAGGATCAAGGTTCCCAATAAAAAGGTTAGCTCCCACGTCCACACTTTTCTTGTCTTGTGAAGCCTAAAAAAGCAAATGAGCAAAAGTTTTTAATACTAATAAGGCACTTGTAAATTCTGCAAGGGTTATTAAAAAGGAGAAAAGTGCAAATTGCTAACCCCCTCAACTCTGAAAAAAAATGTAGAAGTGTACCTTATTTACTCTTATTGCCTTTCCATACAATTTGATCATATTTAGTACCTTAATGGCCTGTAACAAGGATCAATAATAAAAATCTAAGCATCATAAGAAGAAACATATAAAAGAGATCCGATCGATGGGGAGAGGGAGTGGTATCACACAATTATGAAAGTACAAGAACGCTTACATAATCAGCATCTTCTTCACTTCTGAATTCTACAAAGCCATAGCCTTGATGAGCATTAGTGACTCTGTCCTTGGGAACATACACATTGACTAGAACAAATAACACACATAAGCCCCCATAAACAAAAAATTAAGTGAAATTTATCTACAAAATGAGCTATTTAACTATGTTAATTAAACCACCTCACAACCTGTGTTTATAAAAATCAGTTATATTAATTATGTTGCCTAAATAGAACCTAAACAGAACCAAGAAAAAGAAAGGCCCAAATGATGATAAAGAAATGTAATTCAAATATCTAAAAATTACCAACTGGTCCAGCTTGCACAAACAGCTCCCACAGTATCTCTTCAGTCGCCTGTGCACAGACAAGTTACATATTATTACTCTCAATATTCCAAGGTATACAGACAATTGTTCTGTTTTCAAATTTTCTAAATTCAGGTTTCATGCTTTGCAGTGGAGGGTGTAGAGTGGAGTCAACTGTGTAAAATCTAGTGGGATGTACAATGGAATGGATTGTCAAACAAGGTATTCAAGCCACAAAAACACTATCTGAATCCTTAAAAAAAGAGTTGGACAGTAACTCAGTCTAAAATTACAGGTCTTCCTAGGAGTGCCGAGTGCGACAAAATCATTGACATGAAACCAAAACTTTCAACTTAACTCATAATTTCTGCATGAAGCAAACCTATGTAAATCTCCCCAGTCTCAGCTGAGAGAGACACACAATACCTTTCAGAGATAAACAACCTAATAGTGTGTTACTGATCATATAACATCGTATTTTCGGCCCTATCATACGAATTTTCAGGGTCAAGCTTTTTTCCCATTTATTCTCAGAAGCCAATTCTAACTTTAAGCATATGATGAGGAAACTATGGCTGAGGACCACAGCCAACAAGTTCACGTCAAAGAACAAATATGACAAAGAGTTTCCTAATGGTTTTACACTAACTATAAACAACATGCAAAAATATAGAAACTAATCCAGTATGTCTTCAAACATTTCCAGAAATTTTTATAGAAAGAGAGTATATTGCCACAAAAAACCTTTACACAGTCGTGATAATGAAAAATAAAAACAATAACTCAATTCGACCCAGCACGAGATTGACCAAAAACAAGAAAGAAGAACTGTAAACCTAGTTCGAGAGTAGAAAGAGAAGTGTACTTTGGGCTCAAGATTTCCAACGTAGACTGTGGCGTCTTGGTTGCGTTCAGCGGAGTGTTGGCCGAGAAGATTTGCCCCTACACCTGGTGCTATTCGCGTCGTCATCAGCCTTTAAATTGAGAGCAACTGCCAACAAAGCCACAATCTGAGCACAAAAAAGGGAGGTAATAAATTGTAACATACACAATACAAATCCAATCATCCATCAAGCATCAACAAGTCCAACAACCATTAAATTGAGCAAAAAAAAAATGAAATTCACACTCAATAAACCAAAATTAATCAATAAGCCGTTCGGGTTCAGCCATCATTACCGGTCTCGCAGCTCTCTATGCCGTTTCCTCGCCGCTCGCCGCTCGAAGGTCGCGCTTCTACGCAGTCGCCGCACACCGGGCTCGCAGTCGCAGCTCTCGCTTCCTCGCCGCCGTCTCAGGATGGAAAATGCGCCGTTCACCGTCGTCCGTCGCAGAGGCTTGAAAGTACAGGTTGAGAGTGCAGAGGCTCGAGATTTTTTAGGGTTTAGACTTTAGAGCAGTTCACCTCAGTGCCTCACAGACTCGCAGTCCTCAATTGACCGTCTGTTTCGACTCTTTTGGGTTTTCTGAAAAAAAATAAAAGAAAAACGTGTTGAGAAATTGGTTGTGAGAAGAGAACTCGTGTATTGGATTAGCGTCTCTATCACAGATTATCCGTTAAAGTCGTAGGTTTGACTTACACGAGTTTTCAGTCAAGATGATAGGTTGGGCTCCAAAGCGAATTTGGGCTCTCAAAGGAGTCTATTTATGTGTACGGGCTTTGCACATCATTCATCTTCAAATCTCATTTTATTTTTATATTTATAATTTTTTTTTTAATTATAACAAACCAACTTTTACAATTTAAGAATAATATATATGTATCATTAAATTTAATTATATATATATTTTTTTTTTTTTTACTAGTTTATAAATAATTTATTTATATATGTATATTATTTCAGTGTCTTATATTTGTAACAGTTTTCAATAGAATAGCCATAACCATATAGAATAAACAAAAAAAATAAACAAATAAACTATATAACTAAAAATAGAATGTCAATTATATGAACAATTATTTTATTGTGCAATTAATATGGAAAATTGTTCTAGAGTGATACAGTTATTGTAACTTGGGAATGGAAATCTTTTGACATTAAAGGACCATAAGATGCATACATATAATATAACTAAGTTTCAAACAATTTTTT